AGCTCACCCAGGACCAGGAAATGGAGTTGGCCGACCTAAAAAGAAGTGAAACTTCTTCACCTCCAGATCCGCATATGTATAGAAAGTCGTAAGTTATCAGTTAGTAGCCATTATTAAGAGAAAAGAAGGTCTCACAAGTTGGATTTCCTTTTTTATCAAGCGAGCAGTCCATAATCGTTGGGCGCGCTCTGCCACTTACGAGGCCGCCGCGATCGCCGCTGCTGTCGCGAAGTATGAACGCTGCCTTACAGATGAATCGCGATCGGCGCCGGCCGCTAGTGTTTCAAGGAAATATGGGATAATTTGAAGATCCAGCATGGTTGAAAGGATCCTATCAGAAGGGTCGTGTTAGGCCGTTAAAGAAGGTGGAGGAAGTGTCGCAAACGAAGAGTCGATTAGCATCAAACATTGCAAATGTGTCACACTCGCGATGTTTTGGAAGAACGAATCAACGCAGTATTAAACCATCTGCACCCCCTAATGTCTGGTATTACTGTTGTACTCTACAGCTTTTTGCGTACGTACATTGACAGCTTGTGTACCGGCCTTAAAGGCAGTTGGCACGATGATTGGTGCTAAAATGCTAGCTAAAGCTAAAAGCTAAAATGCTGTATTACCGAAAATGATTGTTGTGGCAGAGGTTAAGGGTATGCGGGGGCCCAGTGTTTGGATGGCAGATTGCAAGGCCGGGGGGATGGGGGTTCATCTAACGGACTAATGGAGCATGCACACATTTGTACAAAATCATTTAGCAAGGCTGACTTTGCGACGAAAAGCACCAAAGGGATTTAAGAAACAGCAATGATACCGTCATCTAGTGCACAGTCGAAATAGCTTGTTTATATAAACAATGGCAGCATATACAAAGCAGGTTGTCAAATTTTTTCTTTAAATTCGCTTGCACAGGATACACGCTCGTCGGACGTTGGCGAGTGTAGCACAAAGAGTGGGAAGAAAGTGTGTCATCAGCACAGTGATGTCATCAAAAAAAGAACGTTTAGTTATCCTAAGTAATATCCTGACGGGGGGGTGGTCCGCCGGTCTATAACTGGGAGTTTTTATGAGCTTTCAGAAGTCTTCGGTGGTCGCCGGTCTATAAAACTGGGAGTTTTTGAGCCTTTCAGAGGTCTCAAGGTGCTTCACCTTCACCACTTCTGAGCTCTAGCTTCATCATGAATGCGCATGCCGCCTGCTTGTTGCACTACGGTTAGGACCTAATAGTTAATATGCTTCGCGTGCTGAACTTGTTTTAGTGAATCGTCCTCCGTCATACTGCCTTTCTATCGAAGGTGTATAGGGCTGGAAAGGGTTCCACATCAGATGATGGAAAAACTAGTCCGCCACCAAATACCACGACGTCGCCATCATCAAGAAAATGGATCAGGTTCGAAAAACCCCTCATCAGATGATAGGAAAGCTGGTCCGGAGAAGAATGTCGTGAACTCGCCACCATCAGAGAAGATGAATGCATCCAGTCTCTCCGTAACAGCACTATATGAGAGCTATCTGTCCAATTTTCAGAGTCAACAACGAAATCTCCGGCATCAACTCCAATGACAGCTGGCTTTTCGCTTCTGATTCCGCTTATGCTATCAAAGCTCAACTTTTGATTCGAAAAGAATTGTTGCCGAAGAAATAAGTGGTAGATCCGCAGTGCTTGTACAGAATTGGTATGCCTCCTTTGCATGGCTAGGACGATCCTCTATTCCGTAGAGGGCTCAAAAATTCTAAACTAGATTTATGCTTCGTGTTCAATGTCAGCATTCAGAGAACTTTCTGTGCAGCGCTGATAGCGCTTATTAGAAAATCGAATTGTTGCTTTCATAGCAATTTCAAGTGCTGAGAGCTATCTCGCGTCGCTTTTTCTAGTTCGAGCGTGTCGGTCAAGGAGGTCATCATTAGGGCCTCTTTCGTACAGATGGCGCTCGTGTTGCGTTGGCGACGTTTGCGGAGCTAACAGTGACTCGCACCTAGTTCCAGTTTGTTCGATTGGGGACGTAGCACCTTTGAGTTCTTGGTGCATAATAAAGTGTGTGACATCTATGAGTATCTTTTAGTCCTAGACTCTTCCTGTGCAGTAGCCTCGTGGGCATTTTCGTATACGAGGAAAGAACGATATCATCGACCGAAAACCTAATTTACATACGCATAAAGTCTCTCTGGTTTTCTTTGCTCCGAATTCGCGTATTCACATTACGCATTGAAGGGACCAAACGCATTACGAAGTAAAAAAAATACGGGAAGCAAGTAAAATCTTAGTAAACTAATTCTTCCAAGCATAACAGTGTTCCCTCTATAGAGTCCCCTTGAAAAAAACATAAGAACTCTCGAGTAAACCATAGAGTTATGAGTGAGTATACATTCAGTACTCCCAACCCAAGGATGCTCCCACGGTTTCTCCACGCTCCATATTGTTTGGGGAGCGTGGCAAAACTTCGCTTTATAAAGCCGCCACGCTTCGCTCTCGGACCGAAATCCTAAAGTCGGCACTCGTCAAATCGCTGTGCTAGTGAGAGCGAGTCGAGCAGAACGGTAGTAAAAAACCACAGTAACTTTACAGGACATGTTTACCGTTCCCAAGAAGAGATACACCGTTTCCGTGTGATGGTGACCAGTCCCCTCGGCAGACTTGCAGGGCTTCTCATTGTTTGCGCCCCTTCGTAACTCGAAAATTTTTGTCGAGGTTATGTCATTTGCTGTATCATGAAGAGCTCTCTTATTCCAGTCTGCTCCACAAAAATAAGCAGCTGCAATCAAATCATGGACTATGGCGCAATCGCAGTATGTACACGTATTATCACATAACCGCTATCTTTTCACATATATTAACAGAATAACATGGTCGCTATCGTGGGCCTTGTGTGTCTTTGACCTGCTGGGAATGGTAGACAGAAGGCGGAAGCTATCTGAAAATCTGATCCCCCTCCGCTCGAATATAGACGCATCTTCCACGAAGTCTCTCCTCGACATTGAATAAAACTGGGCGTAAGGTTACTGTAGCCCCGCAGTGTACGCAATGGCACACAGCCGCATCTGTACGAAAGAATGGCGCCCATATCATTGATGCATGGCACCACGTCGACAAAACACTTATGGACCACCTCTATTCGAGCATGGACAACCGCATTTGAAATTTCGAAAGAATGGGGCTGCAATAGATTATTGAAATGACGATTTATTAAATTTGTTGTACACTTGTTGTTTTCTGAATCGATTCGTTTAGTGGAAGTATACTTGTGGGACATTGTCAGAGTGAGAAATTTCAAAATAAAGAAAGTTGAAGTTGCTCTGGAAAGTCAGCGTTTCGGACGGGCTTGGGAATTGCAAATTGGCCCTCGGTAATTACCACATTTGGTATACCTCGAGGCTTCTTTGAAGATTCGCTCGGGTGTAGGAGGTGTGGTGAAGTATTATGGGTGGAAGTATACTTTTGGGACGCAGTATACTTAGCGAATTATAAAGTTGGATACTCTTTTCGAGGAGTGCAACTTTTCATGTGACACTGATCCCTGCATTAGCGTCAAGACCTTCATGCAATATGTTCATTTGAAAGGGTTGCAAGGATTACGCTCCTGAATCACCCTGTTCTATATTGATCTGTCCCAGTCGCGAAGAGACGGCAGGCGATATACCGAAAGGCAGGGGTCACGACTTGTGGATCAACCATGTGTCATGAGTATCACCAAGATAGAAATCAAGCGGAATGAGAAATTGAAGAGAACGACTTTTTTACCGATGCGACCATTCCAGCGATCCAGCGCAGCTTTGGATTGCCCAAAAATCTCGGATCGATACGCATCTAATCCTCTGAAAGTGAGATGGCCGAGCCATCAGACAGTGACGCGGCCAGATTTGGGAGGGAGTACTGGAGGACAATAGCATCAAAGATCTTTAATCAGCTGACTCTAAGTGTTGGTTTTTGATAACCAAGCCCGTTTTCACCCTGCGCATTATCGCTTGAGAAAGGGGAATCATATTATACAACGTCAGATCCTTCTAGCTGCTTCGAATAGACAATTCTTGCAAAGGCCTTTGATTTTATCCAGAACAAATGACCAATTTTTTGAATAGCGAATTTTGCCACAAAACATGGAGCAACTTACTGTATTCCACAAGAATCATACTCTGCACAAACGCGGCAGAGGAACTTTTGTGTCAGCGTTGTTTCCCCACAACATCCCGTATTGCGGGGCGACACAGCTCCAGAGGTAATATAACGCAGGCGAAACCCGAGGTCTCGAGCAGATGTGTCGTGTTCCGTGCTCCTCTCCCTCTTACACTATCTAGTTTGCAGTATACTATCCTCTGGTCTCTTTTATGCATGGTAAGAGGTTTCATAGGCTAAAATCTACCGCAAAAGGTTTCCTGCACTGGGGATTCACTTAGCACCTCAGATGATTGCTTGTCTGGTACACACTCCCCGCCCTCTCGACGTGCTGCACAATATACGTCCTGCCGCCCTGAAATGTACTTTCAACGGGAATACTGTGGGCGAGTAACACATTACCTCTCCCTTTCATGGTCGAGTTGAAATGTGAATGAATAAATCCCTCGCTTTTTGCTCATTTCTATCCTGATTCAGAAAAGAGAATAGAAAAGCCCCATCATCCGCAGCGAACCAGAATTGAGTTGTACTGTTTAGTCACTTACGAGATGATGTCGACTTATTAATATTTCCAGTTATTTCGGATTAGTTTGATGAATGAAAGTTTTGTACTTTTTTTACATATCCGAGTTCTCTACAAAGCAAGTTTCGCTGTACAGGACTCAGCACACTGACACCTTTGCGCTGCTCGTTACTGGCTACCGCACTCATTACGACCCCCCTCTCCTGGCGGCCAAATACGACCCCCTGTTGGGGATTCCCCAACCAATGATTGCCCTGTATGGGCGGCAGTTCTGAAAGAGAACCTCGTCTTATTCATATCTTCTAGAACCGCTTCACATTGCAGAAAGACGTGAACATCGTATTTTGTCGTGATCATGTGGTATACAATCGAATGAACACTTCCCAGCTTGTTGGTTTCTACGAAACCTTCGAAAAACATGCGGTGTATTTCCTAATTCAACGAAACACCATGGTAGCTTACGGTATAACGACGAATATTGTGGTAGTTTTCTCTTTGTACGTGCTGAAAACGAGTAAAGTCAACTTAATGAGCTCTTTCCGGAATCTCATGTACTGCAATGTCATATTTCCTGCTTTGGCATGCAATGTTGTCTGTCTTCTGTTAATCCCATACATATTGGTACCATATCCCATAGTGCTTAACTTGGCACCATTGAATTCCGGTCGTGAATTCGCATTGGTTTATCTAGCCATAGCTTTTTGGTTTGGATTTATGAGCTACCTTTCTGCTTCATATTCGATATCACTGAATTATATTTCTGTATGTCATTCTGAGTTTATGAAATCAACCGGGTTTTGGATTATGAAATGGCTTGCCCTTGTTCTTCCATGTATCCTTCTGATAGCTTTAACAATCCTTGTACCATTGTTAGTCCTGCGTGACACGCTGTCAATCCCGTCACTTTTGGCGGCAGATGCAAGAAATGCAGTCGTCGTGGCGAAATTCGCTCCTCTCGTGCTGTACTTCATATCGAGCGGTCTGGACCTTTGGCTAGGGTCAATAATTGTGCTTTATATTACAACGGTCATCTCTAGCGCTGCAATGATTACCAGGTAAATTTTCCTGCTTCTCGATTTTGACCACGATGTCTTCTTTTCTCTGAAAATATTTTTAATTAAATACTCTTTCGGCGGTCTTTAAGGCGGCTTACGTATGCTCCGTTGTGTCCGTTCACGGCTCGGCACGTTTTTCGCGTGCAATTTTCGGGGTTACTGTATGCGCTCTGTTCTCCTGAAATCATGGGAGACGGGCAAGAGGAATCGCAAATTGCCGCTTCGTCGCGCGCGGTATTGGGCGCGACGTGCTCTTATTTGCTCTACCCTTTCGATTGGAGCATCGCATTTCATATAGACAAGGACAAGTGCGTTGCGGTGTGCCGGCCTGTTATTTCTGGTCATACGTTGTCTATTCTCGATCAGTATGACTTAAAATCGTCGTCATTAGCGGGCGCGACGTCGCACGCGACGCCCACTGGCGCGGCGGATTACGATTCTCTTGCCCATAACCTAAAATTATAATCTTGCTGTCGCTTGCGACTACACTACCCCCAACCTCCTCCACCTCATTTGACAGAATAAAATTTCGACAGAATAAAATTTTCCCGAATTTTCGTTTAAATTCTCGCAAGGCTTTTCGTTAAACCTTATGTTGATGAAAATGAACGCTTTATAGGATTGTTCTTCGAATGCGGTCGAAAAAGCACGAATTCTCCACCAAAACGTATCGTCTTCATCTGAATGTTGTTCTTGCTCTTCTGATGTACTGCGCTATAGAATTCATTCAATTTGGCTTACCCGTCGCTTTCTTTGTGATTAGCGTAATGCTCCAGCTGCCGTGGTTCAACGAACTGTGAGTATTTTACCGTGGAACTAAGCATTTTCCAAACTTACAGCAGTTCAAAGTAGCACTAGAAATCAGGGCACGTCCTGAAAAAGATTTTGCAAAGCACGATTTCTAAAAATTTCTTCATCTAGTGCAACTCTTTTTCCGTCCTACCTACCATTTCACCCAAACTTTCCCCAACTTCCTACCACTTTCCCTGATTTCCCAGAAACTCTCCATCTTTCCCCAAAAAGCTGCCATCTAGCGGGAAAAGGAGGGGTGGGGTAAGGGAGAGAGAGAGGGAGAGAGAGGGAGAGAGAGGAGAGATAGAGAGAGAGACGACGTTTTCAGAAAATTGAAGCATTCTTCAACGCCCGGGATAATAGGTCAAAATGAGCGGAGATCCCACGCCTTGATGCTGCCATCCTAGCTTGAGCCTGTCTTGCGAAGGCAGATTCTAAGAGCGGGTTTGGCAGCACCAAGCTTGAGATCTGCGCCCCTTTTGACCTACTATGTCGAGCTTGAGGCTGCTGAACGGGAAAGTCAACAATCGAAAGTTTTTCTTCTCTCAACCCGATACTACCCCAGGCGGGCCCCTCGTGCATACCGAGCTGTAAAAAATTGTCGTGGTGGTGCGTTTGTATCACTATGTTTGGGAGTGTCTCTGGCCGTGCTGCGTGTTGCTTATTTGGTCTGCTTTGACGCATTGGGCACATGTTGTTATGTAAGCGAAAGGGAGAGGGATATAGGCCTAAGCGCACCTATAGCGCTGCGATACCGAGCTTGAAAAGCCATCCACATCCGCACAGCGTTCAGAAGCTACTGCAAAGAAGGTAAAGGTAAGGTATGAGCTTGCCATTAAGATCATCAATCGAGTGTGCAAAGGTAAGAGTGACGTGGGTGAATTTGGGAGAGTAGAGCAAGTTTACTCACTTTAGACATATTTCAGGCCTTATCTCGAAACTCTGCTACTCATTCCGGTCTCGTTTACCGCTATTTCTGTATGCGTTATGTATCTGGTAGTTGTTCGCCCGTTTCGTAAAACAGCTATACGACTCGTGAAGCAAGTGCTAGAGACATCATCCTGGACCGTACCACAATGTAGAAAAGTAACGCCGTCTAATCGGATATCGCAGAATGCCCCCAGTGATCGAGTGTGCATCCGTTATAGTAATAATTAAGTTTAATTTGATGTATTATATTGAGTGTTGAATAAAAAATTGGAACTGTTCGACACAAGTGTAATTCTGGATTGCCATTTTACGCTGCGTTCAGACTTTGCGACAACGCACTGCGACGCGCTTCCATTGTAATAGCTCTTCAATAGCACAGAAGGGAACGCAGTAGGCAGCGTTCATACTTCGCGACAGCAGCGGCGATCGCCGCGATCGTCGGTACATGGCAGAGCGCGCCCCAACGCTATTACTTGCGCTCCGAAGGCTTTTGGGAAGAAGCGACTCAATTTCATGCTTTTTTTTCCTTTAACTGCAATTTTCTTAGGATACTGAAGCTTGGTTTGACACAAAGAAAGGTGAACCCAACTTAATGGCTTTTGTTTTCTATTTTCTTTCTTGATTCAGGATAGAAATGAGCGCGTGAGAGCTTCATTCAGGATCCTTCTATTCTATAAACCAGTAACTTTGTGTGTCGGTTTGTCGGTATGTATGTATGTATGTATGTATGTCTGTCCGTCCGCAAAATGCTTCACGGGTTCGAGTTCGCTGGAGGCGAAAACGACCGCTAGGCAAACAGGCAAATCGGTGCGGAAGTATCAATCCAATGTTTTGATCGTGATATCGGCCTCCGCTATATAAGACAACCATTCGGTACACTCCGAGCCATTGCACGAGCTGCTGGCGTGGCAGCTGGACGTGTGCTCGTGCGGGGGCAGGGTGGGGTGGGGCCGAGAGAGGGGGGGGGGGGCACTGCCCCCCCCCTCTGCTTCCTTCCCCTGCGCGTGCTCAGCCCGATCTGAGCATGCGCAAGAGAAGGAAGCAGAGGGACGGTCCGACTGGAACACTGCGGCGTTTTTTCAAGATATGATATAGGTTATGGCACAGGAACCTGTGGGTGACAAGATTTGCTAGCTGATAAAGGGAGTTAGAGTGGAAAGGACAACATACTCATAACGCGGTACACAGCATCAGTTAGGCGTTGATTTCAGCAAATGATCAAGGGGAAGGTGGAGAAGGCGACGGCGGGTGACAGGAAATGATAACTGATAGGGCCTGATAGAGAACGATGCAGTTGTTGCTCAATCAAATGCTGGAGCCTCTACACCACGAAATTATGGAGTTTTAGTGATAGCGACATTGATGACGGGTGACAAGCAATTTTATAAGTAAAGATAAGGGGACATTCTCACGACATCTCTGACCACTATACTGCCAAAAAAAGCCTCTCAGTAAGCGAAATTTTCCCACAGCCATAGCACTAGAAAATGTACTCATCCCACTAGGGGGGTATATACTTCGCCTGAAACAGGAAGTTTGGAAAAATCAAAAACTCCAATATTGGAACACACTTTATGCGTTCAGTGAGTATTTAACTTCTTTTTTGCTTTTCAACTTTTAATCACTGATGAGAACGAATAACGAAGTAGTTTGTGAGATATTGTTTTTGAGTATGCCTGATGTATGCAAGTATGAGGGGTGCAGATTTCGCTAGGTTACTCTGTCTATTATGATTCGACCACTAGCGCGCAATATGAGCAGCTCAGGCAATTAACAAATTCCTTTCCGTGCGCCTGGCGAAGCCAGGCCAGCTCGGCGAAGCCGAGCTGAAAAGAAGGAGGAGAGCTCGGCGTCAGCCGGGCGATCCGACTGGTAGGTTTTTATTGTTTCTTTTTTCATTCGTCGAGCTTATAGATGAGGTTATAAAGTTTTCACCTGTTGATGTTGCGTAAAATGATTAGTGTTTTGGTTCCCTAGGTGAGTTTCTTTCTGTTTCTTTTTTCTTCGTTGTTTGAACTCGACTTGTAAACTATAAATGTTTTGGAAGTTGGAACAGTTCAGACGATAGGAACTTTTAAGGCGCTTGCATAAATTGAAACAATAAAAACAAAAGAACAAAAGAAACAAAAGAAGCTCACCCAGGACCAGGAAATGGAGTTGGCCGACCTAAAAAGAAGTGAAACTTCTTCACCTCCAGATCCGCATATGTATAGAAAGTCGTAAGTTATCAGTTAGTAGCCATTATTAAGAGAAAAGAAGGTCTCACAAGTTGGATTTCCTTATTTATCAAGCGAGCAGTCCATAATAGCGTTGGGGCGCGCTCTGCCACGTACCGACCGCCGCGATCGCCGCTGCTGTCGCGAAGTATGAACGCTGCCTTACAGATGAATCGCGATCGGCGCCGGCCGCTAGTGTTTCAAGGAAATATGGGATAATTTGAAGATCCAGCATGGTTGAAAGGATCCTATCAGAAGGGTCGTGTTAGGCCGTTAAAGAAGGTGGAGGAAGTGTCGCAAACGAAGAGTCGATTAGCATCAAACATTGCAAATGTGTCACACTCGCGATGTTTTGGAAGAACGAATCAACGCAGTATTAAACCATCTGCACCCCCTAATGTCTGGTATTACTGTTGTACTCTACAGCTTTTTGCGTACGTACATTGACAGCTTGTGTACCGGCCTTAAAGGCAGTTGGCACGATGATTTGGTGCTAAAATGCTAGCTAAAAGCTAAAATGCTAAAATGCTGTATTTTTAAGTCCTGAAAATGAATTTGGCTCAAAAGGTCCCCAGGTGTTTGATGCCAGATTGCCAAAAAATGGCCCGTCATCTAACGTGACTAATGGGAGCATGCATCACCACCTTGTACAAAATCATTTCCAAACTGGACTTTGCCGACGAAAACACCAAGGGATTTAAAAGTCAACAAAATGTACGGCAATCTAGTGCACAGCGAAAAAATTGTTATATACAAACAATGCAGCATAACATAGCAGTTGTCCAAATTTTTTTCCTTAAATTCCGCTTGCACAGGAACACGCCCCCAGGAAGTTGGCGAGTGTGACACAGAGAGTGGGAGAAAGTGTGTCATCAGCACAGTGATGTTATCAAAAAAAGAAACTTTGTTATCCTAAAATAATATGCTGAGGGGGTGGTCGCCGGTCTATAAAACTGGGAGTTTTTGAGCCTTTCAGAGGTCTCAAGGTGGTCGCCGGTCTATAAAACTGGGAGTTTTTGAGCCTTTCAGAGGTCTCAAGGTGCTTCACCTTCACCACTTCTGAGCTCTAGCTTCACCATGAATGCGGTCAGCTGCTTGTTGCACTACGGTAGGACACTATAGTAATCTGGAACATTCAGGTGTCTGAACATAGTTTTAGTGATCGTCCTCCGCATACTGCATTCTACTGAAGTGTATGGGTCTGGAAAGGGTTCCACATCAGATGATGGAAAAACTAGTCCGCCACCAAATACCACGACGTCGCCATCATCAAGAAAATGGATCAGGTTCGAAAAACCCCTCATCAGATGATAGGAAAGCTGGTCCGGAGAAGAATGTCGTGAACTCGCCACCATCAGAGAAGATGAATGCATCCAGTCTCTCCGTAACAGCACTATATGAGAGCTATCTGTCCAATTTTCAGAGTCAACAACGAAATCTCCGGCATCAACTCCAATGACAGCTGGCTTTTCGCTTCTGATTCCGCTTATGCTATCAAAGCTCAACTTTTGATTCGAAAAGAATTGTTGCCAAGAAATAAGTGGTAATCGCAGTGCATAGTACAATATTGGTATGCTCCTTGATGGTTAGGAGATTCCTCTATTCCCGTAGAGGGCTCAAAATTCTAAACTGATTATGTTTCGTTTCAATAAAGCATTCAGAAACTTCTGTGAACACCTGAGAGCGCTTATTAGAAATTCCGATTGTTGCCTTTCATACAATTTCAAGGTGCTGAGGAGCTATCTCGCGCTTCTATTCGAGCGTTCGCTCAAGGAGGCTATCATTGGCGCCATTCTTTCGTACAGATGCGGCTGTGTGCCGTTGCGAACTTTGCGGAGCTACAGTAACCTCGCACCTAGTTC